CTGATATGGACAATGTATCTTTATAGACCAAGTGTTTATCAGTTATTACTTTAATAGCATTTAGCATTTGTCTACAATTTGTTTTTGTACTGCAATGTCATATTATCTTAGTAATGAATCAAATCACACATATCATAAATGTTAAGGAAAACTGTTCATGCTCCATGTGTATAAAAGAAAAAAAATATTGGCCTATATATCAGATTTTGTAACCATGAAACACTGGTATTGGTAAATCCCGTGCCTTTTGAGCTATAATGCAGTGATATGCAGCAGTAGCCTTTAGGTTTGAGAAATAAAGCTAACTCAGAAAGTCCAAAAACTGCATTTCCTTCAAGAGCCAGTCTAAGCAGGCCACAAATGTCAATCAGTCCTCAAGGATGCCAAATGTCAACATGTCCAGCTAAACAGCATTAAAAGGCTGCCTGGTTAAAAAACAAAAACATACATAAAGTATTCACAGAGAACATACCGGTATTATATTATTGGGTATAAACTGGATAGTAGATCAGTGCGTGAGCAGGCAACTACATGCTGCATAGCTAGAACACAGCGGCCAAGGTTTGAATCCCACCTGTGGCCCTTTGCTGCATGTCTTCCTCTCTCTTTCACTCTGATTTTCAGTCCATCTGTACTTACTATCCAATCCACTACTTAGGCTTAAAGTTGGGTGTTCGACTGCTTTAACTGACAGGTGTGCCAAAAGGGAGCTGTTGGCTGCTAGGTCTAACCTCTTCTAATTTCTGTTGGTTTTTAATAACAGCTGACAAATAAAACGGTCTGTTGTGTGGAAAAGATTATCCAAGATGTAGAATTGTAGTATTTTCCTAGTCTTTAAATTAGTGTTAATTAGCAGTTTCACCCACACAAATCCTGCTGCTGCTTGGTAACAAGACTTGCTACCCATAATTCATAAATTAGCGCTTCATCCCTTTGTCCAGATGCACTAACCCTGGATAAAAACAACAACAACAACATGGTAATGGCCCATATGCTGATGCTACTGATTTAAAATCATCTGGTGCCTATCAACATTTTGAGCAATAAATAAATAAAACTGTCAACATTAAACCAAATGACCCATGGACTACTAAATATCAAACAAATTAATGGGATATGTTTAAGAATAAAAAATAAATCATAGAGACAACATAGCCCAGATATGATTTGAGTGCAATAGATTTTCATAACAACAAAAGACACAGACACTGAAGGTACTGGGATTCTCTTTTGACAACGGACCAACTTGGATGGGGGGGGGATTTGCTGCCCTTTATGGGAAGCATCCGTCATCACAACACAAAGTCACCTTGACGGTGACACACACAATCACTCACATACATAAGCAAAACTCCTGATTGACAAGTTACTCCTTGACACTAATAACTAACTGAGGGCCTCTCCTCTTGTTTCAGACGCCTGTTAACCTGTAACCCTCTGCAGCAGGAGAAACGTGTCCAAACAAGACACTTTATGGGCTGACACTGAACAGCCAGGTACAGTTTACACAGTCAAGCAACTAACAGAAAGAGAGAGTCGTGGGTAAATGACATTGCAGATATATTTGACTCACTAACAATGCATGCACTATGGTACAGACAGGAGTTAACTCCCATATTGTCACACTACGGAAAAAACAAACAAACAAACAGGAGTTACAGCTCCTACTCCACTCAGACATACCTGTCTGCCTTGAACATGGTTAAACAGTTAGTCCGAAGAAAAATAAACAAGTCCAGGTGTGTGTTGATCTTTGCTGATGAAAATCTCCAAAGAAATGTCAACTGTCTTTTACTGTCTGGCTTCTTCTGTCTGCTGTTACTAAGTCTGGTCCTGTGTGTGTGTGAGATCTGCTGTGATATCACCAGGTGAAAACCTGTTTGGTGATATCAGAGATAAATGCAAAGCACCCAGCAACTCTCCATGTATATACTAAGGTGCAGCCTGACTGTTTGGTAGTGTGTCCTGCTCTGTGAAAACTCAGTGTTGATATGCAGTCTCGCTCCCCTGCTCCACATGTTTTTCTCTCCTGAATGGAGGTTGGGTCTGTCTGTAAAGGTTGGAGGAGGGAGAGGAGGGAAGAATTGGAGTGGGGGGAGTGGTATATCAGCCACATAGCCCTGAGCCAAGGAGACAGATCCCCACATTTCCATGAGCAGAGATAGCGAAAGGGAAAAAAAGAGAAGGGGGTGGGGGTGATTGGTGACTGATAAAACCCCCCCACTGTAAATAGTAAAAGTGGTGCCGTCAGTCACACTGCCTGTCTACTAGGATTGAGTGTATGCTAAATAAATTACCTGTTATGTCTCAAGACGTTTCTAAGCAATCAAGAATGTAGATTCCTTAGACATTTCTAGAGCTGCAACTTGTTTTCATTGTTGACTTACCTCCCAACATTATCGCAATATTTTTTCCATAAAATGTAAAACAGCAAGAAAAAAAAATACCTGAGGCTTTGAAAACAGATAAAAAAGACAAATACAGTTACTGGACCCCAGTAAATATAATGTGGAGGTTGACATCTTTTAAATAATTATTTTTTATATTTGGCTATAAATTGTTTTACTGTTATGGCTATTTACCACTGATTGCTCTTGACCACCAAGAGAGCCTTTGGCAACAGTGGGAAGGAAGAACTCCCTTTTAACCGGCAGAGACTTCTAGCAGAATTAGGGGCTGACCCAAATATTTGTATGTTTGTGGGGACTTATTGATATAATAAATTCAAGGTGACTTTCACTGTGCTTACTTAGCAAATGTCCAGATTAGCATTAGCTCACCTGCTCTGGCTCACTTCATGTGTTTTGTGTTCATTAGCAGGGACACGTGTTCAGTGAAGGTATCCCTTTCAAAGCAGGAATGTTATTGGTGTCCCAAAAACTAACTGGCCTGCATGTGAGACGTGGACAGCTCTAAAGAACAGCTGCAGAATATTATACTGGTTCATACTCCCCCAACACTACAAATGTTTTAATTAAAAACGCAAGAGAAAATTAAAGCATGTTATAAATGATTATATATTGCTATTTAACAGCTATTTTATGCTACTAAATATTGTTACAGGCGTTAAAGAATTAGTTCAAGTAATGTTTCTAACTGTTTTGGTTGCAGAAGTAGAAATTGTATCAGAGTTGTTCATAGCTATGAACATCTCACTTTATAGAATTAATTAGGGGCAACTTTACAGAGAGATCTTTGTGGATTGTTCACTCTTACAGGGACAAATAATATTTCCACCATGAAGGCCACAAATTAAATTCCATAAGCCTTAATGACATTGTGTTGGAAGCCAGGAGCTCAGAGAAATATCAACCCCAAGAGTCTGCGTGCCACACAGATAAGAGAGGAAAAAAAGCACCTTTTGTAATTCGTGTGATTTCAGATTTAATTAACATTTAAGAGGTAACAAAGACTTTAGGTGTGAGAGTTTACTGGTCTAATCCAAAAGCCAGCTCCTCCTCTCTGGGTAAACATACCACTTTTGTGCAGAAGAACCTGTTATTTTGTGGACGCTAACATGCTTGGAATGGAGCTAATTGTTAAATAGCCTGATGATGTCGAGAATAATGGTTAACCCAGAGGAAGACTGCCCACACACCCACATGGCTGTACCTACACAGTTCCTTTCTTACACACACACACACACACACACACACACACACACACACACACACACACACACACACACACACACACAGCAATCCCCCCCCACCCCCTTCGCCCCAACACAAAGAATATAATCTAGTCAGCATGTTCCCATTTGAATAAAAGCTCATTTTGCCAGCCATCCGTCACATCATCCATAGAGATCAGACAGCTGAGACCAAATACACACCACAAGCATGTTTTTCACACAGACAAAAAGGCACCATTTAAACATCAAATCCAGCTCAATTTACTCTCTACATAATCTGTTTGATCCAATCTAGCTTGCAAATGACAAAAAGGTTTTTGAAATGATGGATATATGATCATTTACCAGTCTAAATAAAAAAGCACCAGCTTCTAAAACGTGAGGATGATGTTGATTTCCTTTGTTTAAAGACTAAACTGATGAATCAGTTTGTCCAAAAAAAGTATAATTTATTAATTATAAATATAAACGTGGTATATGATTTTTGTCTTATTCATGGTTCTTACCGATATAAAGTGTTTTCAATAAGATAATGTCTCGGCTCACATGTACACGTCACTCGTCTGTCCAGGTGTGGCTGTGGCCTGGCTTGGTTTGCTTAGTCACAGATTCAGATATATCAAGTAGTTCAACAGTACTTTGCTCTCTGGCTTTCTAAAGGTACCTCGGGGCTGGTGACTATGGTGATCCAGATCTATGCAGGCTAGATGAAGTAATTTCCACACAGCTTTTAAGAGGCATGTTTTTTTTGTTTTGTTTTGTTTTTTAAATCACCTTCACTGCTTTTATGAAATCTCATTCATATTAACATTACACAGAATTTGAACAAATACCCTGATCTCTTGTTTTCCAACTTTCTATTCCATCTGAAGATGATTTGGTGCCTTTTATGGCTTCATCTGATAATAATGATGACAACAGTACTTTAAATTGTGTGCCAGCCAAGGTATGCAAGGGGCCTGCTACAACATGGTCACTGGCTTTCAAAGAGAAAAATAACCAGGTTATCAGGACAACAGCATCGAAACACTGAAAGACTGCAAACTTGTGGGATTTTCACTGTACAGAATAAATGATACTTGTGCTATAGAGACCATCTGTCAGCTGGGTTGCACATATACAGTCAAGAAACACTACTGCCCTCCTGTGGTAAGCCTACATTAAAGACAAGTCTCTCATTGTTGAGAGACCAAACTGTCACATCTCAGCCATAAAAGTCATATTATATAAGCATGGCATCCATTTTCATATGTTTTTTTTTATGTTTGAGCACATCAGAGTTATTAGAATATTTACCAGTAATCTTTTGGGGTGGGAAATATTGCAAATATGTTTTTGTCACATAAATACTGCGCTTACCCAGATTCACTGTAACTCAACTTTTTGTGAACTGTAATGCAGCATTAGTAAATGCTGCAAAATCTTTCCAACAGGTTTTCATGTTTTTCCTGTTTAATCCAACAACAATACAGAAACAAAAGATGATGCATGGACAATGACAGAACAGAGAAATGCTGAAAATCCTCCCGGTGAAGATGTTAGAACCAGTGACAGTTCCCTAGATACTCTTGTTAACCAAGAGTATCTATACTATACTACTTTTTGCCAGTAATGGATTTATTGGCAAAAAGTTTCTGTATTGATAACACATCTGTCTGATTAAAAAAGACTCACTTACCCACTGGTCACATCATCAGTGCGCACAGCATTCTTGCTCAGCACATCTCCATCGCTCATGTATCCCGTGACTTCCATTGGGATTCCATCAAGGTCGACGTCTTCCCCGGCTCTGTCTCCCAGGTCCACGCTGCACAGGGCTCCTCCCCTGCCAGCCAGCTGTCGCCGCAGGTTCCCGGGGTAAAGGTAGCGTCCTCCCTGGCCACCAACCACACGGCCACCGTAACCATTCCCCATAGAGGGGGCATCACCTGCCTGAAGACGAGGGCTAGACTGGCCCAGTCGCCACGAGGATAGTGAGGGGCGGGAAGATGTAAGGCTGAGGATGCTTCGACTGCCTCCGCTATTGCTGCTGCCACTGCCTGTACCGCCACCGCCGCTGATATCTGTGGTAATGCTGCTGTCAAAGGTGGTTTCCAAGGTGCTGAGCGGAATACAATGAAGGCAAGACAAGTTGAGAGCACACATTAATGTTTTCTGATAACATTTCATTCAAAACTGTGCCTTTTGAAGCAGTAAGCAAGTGGCCAATCACTACACCAAATGTCAAGAATTCTTTTCCTAGGATCTGGAAATATGGAACAGAGAGAAGCACTGGAGAAAAAAAAAGCATCAAATTGCACAATTTCATTTATGAACAACAGATTTATTGACCTTAGAGCAGAGTATAAACTATGTAGACAGTTGGGTCAGCACTGACACATAACACCAGAGCACAGGTCACAACTCTGTAGGAGGGAACGTGATTAGAGCTAAGCCAGAAGCATCAAAGACATGCCCAACGATCAAAGTAAAAGATCCCTAAAAAGAAGGATAAGACTGCTATAAGAAAAAAAGGAGGTAATACCTGTTAAACACAGACAGACACAGTCTACTGACCACAAGACTGATTCAAATCCACCAAAAAAATGAGTGTGATTTAGATGATTTACCACTCAACCATAACAGCATTGTAAGAAACTTCAGTTGCTGTTCAGATAGTAAGTGTTTGTTCACATATAAACTTCCCTCCAAGCACTGTTTTCCTAACAAAAAAATGAATTGCTCAATATCAAGAAAAACACTATGTGGGATGAGCCAGAGCGCAGTGCCAATCACTGTACCTGTGTGAGACCTGAGTTCCTCGGAGGCTTGACATGGTCTCCTCTAAGTTTTGCCGCAGGTCAGCTATGTTTTTGACAGTACGCAACCGCCTGGTCTCTGGGTCTTCACCTGACCAGCACAATAAAAAAAAACAAAAAAAATTTAAAGAACATATTTTCTCTATGCTGAACCAGAAAGATTACATATTTCCATTGATCGCCGACCTGAAAGGTCCTCGATGGATGTCTGGCTGGTCTTGGTGAAGGAAATGTCTCCACCTCTGCCTCCTGAATCGGTCTCAGTAGTCACTGTTCCCTCGCTGTCTGTTTGGGATCTGGAAAATTAATTGTGCAACAGATCAAATCGATTCTGAATTATTGTGCACTTAGTGGGAACCTAATATTGAGCAAATTGTCACGAAAGAGGGATAAACCCGATTAAGATTTAAATCTGCTGTGTTTCAAGTCTTGTGACTGTAGTCCAAAATGAATGCCTGCTAATCCCCACACACCAGAAAAGTTTGCCTTTGAAGGATAAATCGATACAGCTGAACCACTGGTAGTGTTTTGAAATGATGACATTCGAAAGCTTCGCTCATATTCAGCCTGCGGTCTTTGCCCGATTCCAGACTTTGTCCTTGTTGACTACTCGCTCTGTGTACCAGACAATGAAAACCACTGACTGCTTCAGACTCACACTGTTGTACAGAGAATGGCAGCATGGAAACTCGACCTTCTGACTAACCAACCTAATACAGGGTTAAACTTTAGCTTATTTCCATATCTTTTCCTTGAACTAATTTCTACCAGTGTGCTTTGTTTTAAGTTAATGGTCATCAGCATTGATCGTATGTTTTTAATCCTTCTAATTTACTTTCAAACATAATCTTTCTGACAGGTGGAGGCGGTATAATCCTGCTTGTAATGGTACCTGACAGCAAAAGGGGAAGTTTCAAAGTGCTGATAATGGAGGCATTTTTTTGGCGGTGGGGTTGTTAACTATGGGTCAGAATGTACACAGGGAGAAAGGGCAGCAGCACAGGAAGCATCAGGAAGTTAATGAGTGGTTGTTAGAAAAGACTTATTGAGCGCATGAGGGACCTCCTTCCTTATCACACTGCGACCAGGACAGAGGTCAGGGGCGCACAACATCTACACATATTTGCCCAGATGCACGTGTACAAACAGGCAGGCAAAATATGAGAACCTGAACATATTAAAGATTACTGTTTAACAATTTAGAGATGGACAAATACTCAAAGAAAACTTTGAAAAACTTTGTATTTGGTGAAAAAAAACAAACCAATCCAATTTTATTTATATAGTACCAAATCACAACGAGAATTGCCTGAATAAAGTAAAGGCCCTACGATAATACAAAAAAACCCCCCAACAATCAGATGCTAGCCTGTGAACCAGCATTTGTCAACAGTGAGAAGGACATCTCCCTTTTAACCTGTTAGCAGTCGGACATACCGCCCACGGTACATTGGATGGTTTAGGGGACTAATTGTAAATTTGTAGGACTGCTAAGGGGTTAACAGAAAGAAACCTCCAGGAGAACCAGGCTCCGGGAGGGGTTTCCATCTGCCACGACCAATTGGGGTGAAGGGATGGCAGGCAGGACATAGTACACACACGCTGTCCAGTTAAGAGTTTGGTTTCAAGCCCCCCTGCAAATATGTTACACATAAAACTGAGCAGGGCTAAGTAAACATCACTCTGAGAACCTACATGTGGATGCTAGAGTGGTGGAGAGGTTCAAACAGCATGTGTAATACAGGACAGCACTTTCTGTCGGGGGGAAGATTGGAAAGTTTGCAGCTTAAATGGATCGCCAAATTGTGAAGGCGTATCTGGTACACGATGTAATCAAAGTGAGGCATGTTAGAGTGTATGACGCAATGCAACTCAAGCTGCCTGTCTGAACTAGCTTGCAGGCTACACTCCATTTTTTTATAATCTTACACAGCCCTGGAAACATAGAGCCAGGTTATACACCGATTCATATTCATTCAAACATGTGGAATAAGTTCACATATATGATCACATATACAACAGAATGAATATGCAACATACTGTATGAGCAGTGTTTTAATACTATTGTTTTATAAGGCCTAACTTCATTTTGTTTCTTTTTACTTTTCTAACAGTGTAACATATATAT